GAGGAGCAAGGCATAAACGTTTAAAAATATTTTCCAAACACAGTACACATTCTGCCCCTCACTCCCACCACCTCAGCAAGGGTTGAGCCTGTTGTAAGTTTGTCCTCACTGAGCCGTCTCATTTTTGCCGTTTAACCTGAAAAGAGGAACTGTATCTTTCAACAGCTGCTCTCGACACGGTCCATGTGCATTTAAACAAGTCACCACACTCGAGGCATACGGTTAGAGACAACACGAAGGTTCTCCCCCTTTGGCACCAAGGCAAGTGTCCAACTTGCTTCTCTTTCCTGGGATCTTCACCTGGAAAATTCTCTCTTAATTGTGCGCACACGCACCTATGATGTGCTGGGCATTATTCAAACTGAGGCACCTGGTTACACTTGACTTGGTCAGGATCACACCGATTATGGCCAAGGCGGGCTTTAATACAGGCGGGCCAGCTCCAGGACTCCAGCTGTGAGTGTCTCACGTGGTGATGACTCTTGCCAAACTGGTTAAAAATGAGGCAGCCATGTGTTTAAGTCAGGGGTCCTCAAACTTTTTAGAGGGCCAGTTCACTGTCCCTCAGACCTGTTGGAGGGCCTAACTATAGTTTTAAAAAAAAACTATGAACAAATTTCTATGCACACTGCACATATCTTATTTTGAAGTAAAAAACAAACGGAGCAAAAACACCCGGCAGGCCGGATAAATGTCCTCAGCGGGCCGCATGTGGCCTGCAGGCCGTAGTTTGAGGACACCTGGTTTAAGTGACGTGTAAGACGCTCAGTAGACAGGCCCAAGAGGTGCCCTGAATTCACCAGGGCCCCCTTCTTATTTACTCCCTGCTCCTCTGTAGGGGTGGGGGGGGCTATTGTCACAAGCTCCCACTTTTTTCTTGCAGATGCCTTTGGCCAATGACTCCATAGGGGCACTGGATCCCAACCAGCCCCACATCGTTGGTAAGGCCTGCACCTGCCCCAGCCTCTGCCAGGCTCCCAGTGGGCCTGGAGGGTGGATTCCAGGGGCTTTCAGGCTGGACCCAAGGGTGTGCTTGTCTCCACACTAGGAATCCAGAGTCCTGAACAGCAGGCCGCCCTGGCTCGTCACAGCCCAGCCAGACCCATCTTCGTTGAGGGCCCCTTCTCCCTGTGGCTCCGAGATAAGTGTGTGTACTACCACATCCTCAGAGCTGATCTGCTGCCCCCTGAGGAGCGGGTGAGTGGTGGGTGGCCCGATACCACCTGCAGTGCTTCTGAGAGGGGCGCCAAGGCAGAGACTAGGAGAGAACAGTTGATGGTGGGTGGGGCAAGGGAGGGTGTCAGGTGTAAGTTGGCAGGCAGTGACTGGACCCTCATGAGCCTCCCTCCCACCTGGAGTAGGAAATAGAGGAGATTCCAGAGGAGTGGAACCTCTACTACCCCATGCAGCTGGACCTGGACTACGGGAGGAGTGCCTGGGATGACTATACGTTTGATATAAATGAAGGTAAGAGGGGGGAGGGGCAAAATTCAGGTGGGGCCCAGGCTGAGACAGCCCATTTGCCACACAGACCCAGGGAAAGCATGGGCACATACCTGGTCCCACCCTGAAGTCACCATGCCTGTGGGATTTCACTCATATACTCTTGCTATTCCCACCGAGCAGGCTACTAGGTGTGACCAGCTCAGACCTGCGGAAGGGGAGGGCTCCCAGGG